ACCTCTAGTAATATATTTACTGAGAAAAATGGTGACGTGTTCAATACTTATTTTACCTGCTGTATATATACAGTATATATATATCATATCATGAGCAGAATATCGAATGTCAAATTGTATCGTGAGATTAGTATATTGCCACAGCACTAGTATTAGCTTCAAAAACTAATGAAGTTCGGGAGCAGAACCACACCCTCCTAATTGCCCTGCCAGCCTATTTAATCTCTGCTCACCCATTCCTCTCAGTCCGTTACGTTTTCGTCAGCCCCACCATCCTTCACCTCATCCCTCTTCATCCCATCTCCTTTTCTCCTTCTATCCCTTCATCCTTCCTTCCCTTGATCTCATAAGCTTTTTTCTTTTTGCTACAGGTTCCATCTGGAGGGTCTTATACGGGCTCGGGAAAATTACGAGTTCATTTACGTGAAGACCATACCCCCACGCTGAGTCTTCTCAAACCCTCCAGCATTCTTTCCAGATGACCAAGCAAACTCCTCCATCCCTTCCTCCCTTCAACCCCTCCCTACAACAAACTTTTAAATCATATTTTTGTGGTGTGGCCCATGCTAGTGAATAAATGTGTTTTTTGCTGCTGTTGCCATCAGCTTGAAGTTTTTAAATATATTGCCAAAATTGAAAAGTTGAAAAATGATTTTATTACAATAAAAACACAGCACAAATTGTTGCCAGAAATGATCAAAATGCATAAAACCAGTAGAATCATGTTAGTCTATTCTATAAACAATAAACGGCAAAAATGCACCAACCATGTTTTAATGTTTACATCACAGTAAAAGAAAAACAAATGAAGACGAATTTACATTAATAGAAAACAGTTACAAACTAGGAAATACCTATCCCTATTTATCCACAGTCATTTGCAGAACTCTAGACTGTGTTTAGATCTCACAGGCAAAAAAAAAGAAATATAAAAAATCATGAAAGTGGTATAATACAAGATAAAAGGTTTGTTTATGTGTTGGTAAAAGACAACCAGCATGGATTATAATCGTGATGGCAGTTCTGATTTGTCAGAGTCACTTCTGTCCTCCACAGGACAGACATGGTTGTGGCGCCTGTTCAGGCCATGCGGTCATAATCACTGACCATCTTCTTGATGTGGTTCAGTTTTTGCTTCAGATATTTGCATCTCCGTTTCTTCACCTGATAATCTGATGACTGTAGGAACAAAAGCAGCTTCATTAATCAAGAAAAAGACATGACAAATACATGTAAATGCTCATAGTATGTCAAAATAGTGTTTAAAGGGCCCAGATACAGTCACAAATATTGACTAAAATACCAAATTTGGGTTGCAGAAACTGTGGTTCAGCAGTGCCCAATCACACAAACATTTTCTGGTTGTGCAACTACAAAACACTTGGGTCAAGGTGTACAAGGCTATAAACCAGGGCCCATATTTATCAAACTTCTTAGAATTATAATTAAAAATGCTGTTAAGAATGGACTTAAGTGTAAAAAAAATCTTAACTAAAAGCTGAGCCTAAAAGTCAGTTATCAAGCATCTCAGTCTTACTTTGAGCAAAATGTAAGAGCAAATTTTAAGTGTCAGTCTTAGAGCTGATTTATAACACTTTGCTGATCCTGGATGACTATGTAACAAAAACCCCAGTATGGACCAATCACTGCATCGGATTTCATGTTCAAGAAGATTCTCTGAGTAATGTCAAGATAAAACTGTGAAAATCCTAAAATAACCACTTCCAACACACTAATGTTCATACATGTCACATTGTACTGATAGTCAGTGAATTACATAAAATGTCCTCATTTGCATCATGAATCCATCCATCCATCTATCCACTTTCTTCCGCTTATCTGGGATCAGGTCACGGGGGCAGCAGCCAAAGCAGAGACCCAGACTTCCACTTGGACCAGCTCCTCTGGGGGAATCCCAAGGTGTTCCCAGGCCAGCTGAGAAACATAGTCCCTCCAGTGTGTCTTGAGTCTTCCTCTGGGTCTCCTCCCAGTGAGACGTGCCTGGAAAACCTCACCAGGGAGACGTCCAGGAGGCATCCATAGATGAGGGTAGGAGTGTGGACTAATCAGGAAATTGAAGGCTTCGCCTTTTTGCTCAGCTCTCGCAGATAATCACGACAGATCGGCACAGCTCCCACATCACTGCCGACACAGCACCAGTTCACCTATCAATCTCCTGCTCCATTCTTTCCTCATTCATGAACAATGCCCTGAGATACTTAAACTCCTCCACTTGGGACAGGACCTCTTCCCTGACCCGGTGGAGGAACCCTACCCTTCCGGCAATGCAGACCAAGCTCTGACACCGGTCATACAGGGACCTACAATAACAACCCATATCAAAGAGCTTAGTATCCAAAGGAGGAACTTTTTAACCACCTTGGTGACCTCAGCACCAGAGATTGGAGAGTCCAAACCAGAGTCCCCAGGCTTTGCTTCCACATTAGAAGACGTGTCGGTGGGATTGAGGAGGTCTTTGAAAATTCTGCCCACGACCCACAACATCCCGAGTTGAGGTCAGCAGTGCACCATCTCCACCATAAACAGTGTTCATGGTGAACTGTTACCCCTCTTGAGACGCCGGATGGTGGACCAGAATCGCCTCATGCAGAAGTCTTTTTTCATGGCCTCTCCAAACTCCTCCCATGTTCAAATTTTTGCGGCAATGACCACCCAAGCCTTAATCAGCTTGAACTGCCGGTACCTGGTGTCCATCAGTGGATTGAGTGTTGCCGACATGACAGGCACCGACAACCTTGCGGCTACAGCTCCGGTAAACAGCATCGACAATGGAAGCACGGAACATGGCCTACTCAAACTCACTGTCCCCCACCTCCCCCGGAATATGTTCAGAGTTACCCCAAGGAGTTGAAGCTCAGTCTGACGGGAGACTGCACCAATAGTTCCCAGCAGATGTCTGACCAGCATCCTCCCCCACCATCGGAGCCAACTCACCACCAGGTCAGTTGACAGCTCCGTCCCTCTCTTCACCAGAGGTCTCTTAAGTGGTTAAGAGTTGCCACTAGGGGTCTGAGATGGTAAAAAAGGTAACTGTACAGTATTTTTTGTGTCATGGTTCCACGTTGGCCTTCTGGGGATGGGGTCCAGAGGAGGGGCAGACCGTCTGGTGGGGCCTGGGCTGCGGGCAGACTTGGGGCTTGGACGGGTGCCAGGGGCGGGGCTGGCACTCCAGCTTCCATGGGGCTGTTCAGCCTCCCAGGGTCTGGCTCCTGGTTGCTGTGGTTGGCCTGCTGGCTGGGGTGGCTGATGGAGTCCGGCGGGTGGTCGGTGTGTGGAGGAGGTGCAGGGCATGGCTTCACTGGGGCAGGGGGCTGGCCGGTTGGTCTGGTGTGGCCCGGGCCGACACTTGGCTGTCTGCTCCTCTTCGCCCCAGATTGAAGGGGTCTACCTCCTGGGTTCGGATGTGAGCTGCCCTCTGTAGAGGGCGGGTGCATATCCTGAACCTGGGATGTATAGGGTATGTATGGGGAGTGCGAGTGGAATTTGGCATCCATCTTGTGTGTCTTTGAATGAGTGGGTGAGAGGGTGAGTGTGGGATTGTGGGATTGCGTTTGTGTATGCTTGGATTTTTGTCAGGCTGGGGCTTGGAACCCTTCTTCGGGTTCAGTTGTGGGCACACTGCTTTCCCTGCCGCGCTGCACTCTGGTGGATTGTGCCTTTGCCCGCCGGTGCACTGGTGGCTCCTGATGTCTGGGGCTGGGTGCCTGTGCCTAGGCGCCTGGGCATGTGCCGGTTTGGCCCAGTGGGGCTTGGGTCCCCCCCCCCCCCCCGGGCCTCTGTGTCCATGCCTGGTTCTGCTCTGGCATGGTGAGTGCCGGCAGGGCCTGTGAGCTCATCGCTGCCAGGGGTTTACTGTGTGTGGTCGCTGGTGGGGCTCTCCCTGTTCTCTCCTGTGGTCCCCTTTGGGGAGTGGGTGGGCAGCCCTCCCGGCGTGGGTGCCTCTGGGCGCTTTGGAGCTGGTCTCCCTTATGTCGGCTTTGGGCTTTACGGGTCGAGTCTTTGGTCCTCCACATTCACTTTTAAACATTCCATTGGAGAATACCTTGTATACACATGCATGCTCACAACTGCACACAAACAGGTGTTTACATCCTGGGGTTTCTGTTCAGACGTGCAGCCAAAATGTCGGGTGTATTTTCTTGTGTTTTCTCGATATATATTTCACATATCTTCTAATCTCTTTCACTCTCTCATTAAATTTCACTTTTTCTTCTTTCTTTTTCTTTAAAAAAAATCGCTGATGATGAAGAAACCAAGAAACTAATATTTAGTTCTGCTTTCTACTGAAGTAGCTAAAACAACAACAACAGCAAAGATAATACGGACCCTTAAACCAGAGGTCTCTTAAGTGGTTAAGAGTTTTGCCACTAGGGGTCTGAGATGGTAAAAAAATGTAGCTAACTGTACAGTATTTTTGTGTCATGGTAGTTGGTAAAATGAATATCAACAAAAGCAGGCTTCTCACAATAGGAAAATTGACTGATTAACTGTTTTTTAATCACTGTATTCATCTGAGGTATCTGTTACCATGACAGTTTGGAACAAATACATATACTGTTACAGTACATGTACTGTTCTGTAGTGTAAAAGTTATGTTAAATCTGGATTATAAAGTGTTCTTAAAAAGCCCTTTAAATAAGATACAAACCTTTTTAAAGTCCTTTAACCTACTGTACTCGTCCAGAGCATCCTGAAAACAAGCAGAGAAACATTTCAAACTAAAATTTGTTCCAAAATCCCAGATTTTACAACACTGTAGTGTAATGATTTATTTTGTCGAATCAACTTTCTGAAGTGTACATTTCATATTGACTTTCAGGTAAATGGTACATGAACTGTGCTTATATACTGTAGAACCTTTCTAGCCAACCAAGCTACTCAAAACATTTTACAGCACTTTACTACATCTCTACAAAATTAATCTGAACAAGCCATTCCATAAAGTCTAATCAGTGTTTTAAATACCATTCTTACACCAGTAGGGCACATCAGAGGCAACAAGGGGTTAAATATCTTGCCCAGGGGCACTTCAACATGTGACTGTTTACTGGTGGAATTAAACCTTTGAGTTTTTTGTTGAGGAGGATTACTCTTTCCACTGAACCACAACCAAAGCAGAAATTCTGACCTAACTGGGATCAGAATCAGAATCCTTTAATGATCCCCAGGAGGAAATTATTGCAATTATTACAGCTGCAGCCGTTTAAGTAAGCATTAGAGATAAAGTATAAAGCAATAAATATTCAAGTACACAAGGAAGAAATAAGTATAAATACTCTGGAGAACCAGAAGAACTGATTGGGTTAATTATAATTTACATGTTTTATCATTCAAATACTCAATCATCCTGTGGTGAAATTTGTCTTGGTTACAGTGAACTTTTGCTGTCATGAACATGGCTGCTGTGCTTTATGATCTTTCTCCAAATAGATAATGATGACTTGCAGAACACAGGAAGGAGAAATGGCCACTCGGGACTTTCTGATGCACGCCTATGGTTCCTGAAGATGTACAAGTTGGATGTGGGGAAGCAGAAGTGAAAATGACCAACTAAGCAGTGTTCAACAATTGTGCTTATGATTAATATTCCACACGAGGTCTGCGTTTTTCCCCCTTCCCTTAGGCAGTCTCATGTCTTGTCAAGAAACCTGGCTGTGCCAACCATAACAAGGGTTGGAAACAGGCCGGCGGAGCCCACCTTTGACCCCCAACAGAGAGGAGGACATGACAGGAAGAGAGGCCATAAGAGAGACCAGGAGGCATGAATAATGGGCCAGAGCGAAGAGAAACGCAGGAAGAAGAAATTGAAGGAGCAATAAGGAGTAATAAGCTATATTGTTCAATATTTTTAATCCGTATAATCAAATGTGGCTTTTCTTGCAAATTTCTATTAAACTGCTTACAGCATTATAAAGACAATTCCATGACTGGACATTGGTTTTTAAAGTCTTTCTCTGATTGCACGAGTGTGTTGTTACTTCAAAGCAACAAGGTATTAACATATTAAGGAGTGTGTTTACGTTGAAGCCAAGAGGTAGTGATAAGAGGTCATAACTTAATAATAAGTTCATTTTTAATGGTTATTAGCCTGGGAGATGGGATAACTCCCTTTAACAGTTCCCTTGAGACCTGTTGTCCAGGTCACTGAACATTATCTCGGTCATTGTAAGAAGTGCAGATCTTAAGAGGGAGCGGCTACCAGGAACAGTGGTGACCGGCTGCTGGAGGCGTCCTGAGCTACTGCGCTGATCCAGAAGCAGGGGTTCATGAAGGGAGCGACCACCGGAGGGACGGCAGCTACAGGCCGAGCTAAAGGCTCCTGCCCCTGTCTCCTGGAGGAGACACACCTGACTCAGCCACACAGGCCACCCCAGGTGGCTGTAAGTCTGGTCCATCGCCTCCAAACCAAGAAGGAGACATTGTCTCCTCTCCAAGACCCATCGGTGTCCTGGTGGGTAAACTGGGGGAGGAGCCACACAGGAAAACAGTCTTTGTAACTAGGGGCATGAAAACTAAATAAAAGGAGGGTGAACTACAGGAAGTCCTCAGAGTGTTGGGTTGGAGGTACGGAGTTGACTTCCTGTCCTGCGTTCTCACTCTTGTCGAAGCTGACTTTGACTTTCTCTTTCTTTCTTGTTTGTATTTGTAAATGTTCTAGGTAAATTTATACCTGTCATGAACACAGAGAACAGTGAGCATTATTTAGCCTCTATACAGTTAAAATAAAAATAACAACAGTGTACAGTAAATAGAAATAACAGTGTAAATAGAAATTAGAATAAACAATTTATTTAATCTAACTGGTTCTACTAAATCAAATTGAGCAAACTGAGCAATATACACGTTTTCTTTAAAAGCAAACATGCATATTGCTTCATATTTACTTAGCTAGGTTTAGTGGAACCAGTTGACATGACTTGGTTGAGTCAATTCAACATTTAATTTTTTAGAGTGCAAAAACAACTCCTTTCATGATGAATTCGGACATATTTAATTTTCTAATGAGGTGTTAAGTTTAAAAGTAAAGAAGTAAAATTATAATTTTTAGGTTTTAAATGTAATGAAATAAAAGTAAAAGTAACAATTAAAAAATACTTGGTAAAATTACAAATCCTCAAAAAAAAAAATTTACGTACTGTGACGAAGTAAACGTATTTAGTCAGTATAATCCGCTGCTGCTAAGCAGGAAATACACTGATATTACCCACTGCCAAAAGCAAAAGGGCAATAATGATTTTGCACATCTGTGTTTTTATTTGTCGGTAGCGTTAGTAAAATATCTCATGACACAGAGGAGAACATTTAAAGATCTCACAGAAATCATTGAATCTAAAACTGATTTTCTAAGTTCAGTTAGCTGTGACAAATCTCTTGAATAGAACTGACTCCAAAATTTAATAAAAATGCTTATAAGTCAGTCAGTTTTAAAGACATCAAGTTACATTTTAATGTGGCAGTTGATGAGTTATCCTGATTTCCTGTGTTTTAGATGAGATTGTGCATAATGTCTACAACATTTACCTAAAACCATTTAAACTCAATCATTTCTCAGCATAAGATTATAAAGCTTAAGCATAAACGGGGAGCAGACAATGTGAACTCCTTATAAATACAAAGAAACTTTGTAGAGGAGTTGTTCGCCCAAGGCACCAAACTGGTTAGGACCACCCTTTTGTTTGATTTGTGAAGTTCTCACCAGGTACTGTGGACTTCCCTCCTCCAGCTGATCCAGCTCGTTGTCCAGTTCTGACAGGTTCTTGTTTATGGCATCTAGCTCCGCCTGCAGGTCTTTGTATTCCTGGTGGTCCCGGTCAAACTCTCGCTTGTAGTCATTGCGTTCCTGTTCATTTGCTACTGGGGGAAATTCACTGATAAAAAAAAGAAAACATGGAGAAAAAAGGTGGAGATAGATTACACTTTTGGTTTAACTAAAAATAAAAATTAAAATTAAATGCTGCATTGAAGAGTTTCTTTACTACAGTACTTTTCAAGTGTGTGTGTGTGTGTGTGTGTGTGTGTGTGTGTGTGTGTGTGTGTGTGT